ACTCAGGACCTCTGGAAGAGCAAGCAGTGCTCTTAACCTCTGAGCCACCTCTCCAGCCCACAATGAATATTTCTTTGTATATTTGAGACAGGATTTCACTTTGTAGCCCAAGCTGGCCCTTGCTGCAATCTCTTGCCCCAGCCTCTCTACTGCTGAGATCTTCAGATGTGCGCCACAATGGCTGACTTATCACAGTGGTTTTAAGCTGTCTATATGTGGTTCTATATATACACGGTCATGTGTGCCTTTGCTGCTAAAGATTTTCTGTTGTACAGACACATCACAGGTGTCCCCAGACTTTTGGGCTCAGATCTCTGGATGTCCGTTTTCCCTTCTCTGCTCTGTCTTTATTTTGCTCTTCTCTGTCTCATAACACAGCTCCAACCTGCTCCCTCCCCTCACAGAGGGGGCCTGGAGAGCACAAAGTCCTGGTTTCCAGAGAAGCAAGGGGACCCAGAGGCATCTTGGCAGCTGCCACCTTGGAACCAGAGAGGAGTATGGCAGGATTGCCTGGGAATTCCCTCCTGGGTGAGGTGAGGAAACCTCTCTGTTTGCCTTGGCTGCCCACCCTTGGGTTGTAGACTCCATGCTGTGTGCTGGACAGAGATGGATTTGGGCAGGCCCTGGTGGGGGTGGAGGCAAAATGGACCAGGCCGCCATGGCCCAGAAGGTGCGGGGGAGAGAGGAGACACACACACACACACACACACACACACACACACACACAGAGAGAGAGAGAGGGGGGGGGAGCCACACCCTGTCACCATGATGAAAGCCAGAAGATAGGCCCTCCCACGGGTTCCTCATTTGTTAGCTGGAACCACAGCCCTTGGCCTGCCCAAGTCGTGGGGCTCATCTGAGATTCTAAAAGAGGAGTGCAGGGTTATATATTTGAGAGCCTTACAGAGATCTGTGTGGCCAAGAATACGTCTAACCATTCTGCTGGAAAAATAAATCCTTGAGAGTTCCTCAGGGTATGAGCTATCTCCTCTGTTGCTTCACAGATGTGTGACTTAGATAATGGCACTGGAACCACATGTAGAAAATCCCTGCACTTGGCAGTGGAATTCTGGGTTTCTTCCTTCCCCCAATCCCAGGACCACAAACTGCTCTACCACTGGTTTCTATTCCCCTCCCAGTAGTACCTTGGTCTTTTTTATTTGTTTTGTTCTTGCTGGCTGGAGCCTAGTGAGTAATTTGGAGGCCTCAGGTTATCACTTTGCAATGGGCTCTGCAAATGATATAGTCGGTCCTGCCTCCTTCCCTGTGCAACAGGGCTGGGGTATCCAGGTTTCCATCCCAGAACAGCTAGAGGATGGATGCTAAACCTTCATGGTGAGCCTTCTCTTTAGAGACATGGCTAGTCCCTCTCTACAGCTGCCTCCCAGGACTGCCTGCAGAGGCTGGTTCATATTAGGTACCATTATATAGATGCCCCTAGGTGGTGGGAGCTGAGGGAAGCTGTGGGGAAGGGGGAGAAAACTTTGAGATGGGATAGATTGCTGGGGTCCTGGGGGATAAAGACATAGCAAGCAAGAAAGCCCAGGGAGAGTAACAGGAACTACAACACTTCCAGGGCAGGCATTTGCCAAGGATACTGAGGTACAAGGGCTCCTGAAACGCAGGCTCCAGGCCCAGCTCTGTCTCATCCAACCCCCAGCTCCTTTTCTGTTGAGGTGACATGTTAATCATAAAATATGTGATTAAACTGTTGAGTGCTGTTCTTAAACTACCAAGCAGTAGAGCGGTAAGCAGGCTGCCCAATAAGACTCAGGTTTACCCCACTTCTACTATTAGGGTGTGGTCTTGTGATTCCAACTTAAGTGTTTCTCAAAGCCCCATCGTTGAGTAAGAGATGGACTCTGGCAATGTGGGGATCCCAGACCTTGACTTAGCTGGTCCTAGTGGGCCCCTGGTATCCACAGAGATAGGAGCCAACAGTTCACACAAGACGCTGACAGCTCCAATCCCCCAGACACACACCTTTATTTCTCTACCGGAAAGCACGTCAGCAGGTGGGCACAGGGTACTGTTCTAGCCAAGCTATCCCTGTAACCTGTTTCTCTCAAAGGCCCCTCCAGAACCCGCCAGAGGGGAGGGAGGATGCGCAGAAATAAGCTGCCAGACATGGATGGAGTTCACCTGTCTGCAAGGCAGGCTGAGGGGATGAGGCTTTTGTTACTGGGGTTCAGGATAGTGATATGAATCTTGACTTACATATAAAACAATCACATTGTACACACTCGAGGAAGAGCTAAGTCACACAAACAGGAAACGCACTCTGTTTTCTGTGACACCTGGCTAGTTTGTTGTCAAAGGAGCAACAGCAGAGTTAAGAGGAATAACAACAGGGGAAAAAAAATCCCAACTGATACCAAAACCAGTTCATCTGATAGAGCCCCATGAGATGCTTTCTTTCAGTGGGGAGGTAGGGGTAGGCAGTCCCTCATGGAGCATCCATCCTAGTGACATCTCTTCGACTCAAAGATGTACGGTGGGAGGAGAGGGGCAAAGAGTAATGCCAGTGGTCCAGGAGATTCAGAATCACCTAGCCCTGCAGCAAGTGACATGGCCTCACTTGCTGGGTGGCACGACAGACTGGCATCGACCCAGGGATGTCTAGAGTCTCAGGCACCAGGGACATGAACAGGAAACCCGGCCTCTGCTTTAGAGAGAAGGTCACCCTGAATCACCATGAGCTGAGGCAGTGAGCCGAGATGTGGGAATGGGGCGGAGCCCAGTCAGCCAGCCCAGGCTGGCTCCTGGGAAAGGGAGTCCTGTGTTTCGTCCCCTGTATCGTCCCACACCTACTTCTTAATCTCCCCCCCCCCACCCCATTCGGGTGTTCCTATCTGTCTGTGATCCCTCAACCCTGGGTCCAACACATATATAAACACATATATAAACAGACATAGGCTCCCGCTCTCAGATTTGGAGGCAGAGCCAAGTGGAAGCCGCCCCTCCTTGTGATCACAGCTGGGTCCAGATGGTCCCCTCTGACTCCTCCTCCCACAGCTGATCAGGCTCCAGACCCAAATTAAGCAAGAGGTCAGAGTCCGTAAGAAGGCTCCCGTGAGTCCTCCATCAGGGCAGAGGCACTAGTTACCAAGCAAACCCAGTGAGCAAACGCCCAGCCTCCAAGCAGGGGAAAGGTTGTAGAGCTGTGAGGGAGTGTGTGGTGGTTCTGTGGCCAGCTCTGGCTTCTTAGCCGCCCCTCCTTGGCTCAACTTCTGGGCCAGAGCTGTAGGGAGGGATGGAAATGGAGACAGGGACCTGGGGTTGGGCCTAGAGGTGGCCAATGTTGTTTCAGGCCTGTTATGTCCAGCAGGGTCAAGTAGACAGGTGGCTGAGTGTGGTGGCAGGGATGGGGGCGGGTGTGAATGCTTGGACACTCTCAGTCAGACGGCCATACGGGAGACTCCTCTCTGATCCCAGAACTTACTTCGGGTCCTTTTTTTCTGGAGGAGAGAGAGAGAGAGAGAGAGAGAGAGAGAGAGAGAGAGAGAGAGAGAGATATCATATTATGACCAAGCATGAGCTATGCAGGCTGCCCCTTTCAACTCCCCTTTCAGCCTCTTACCCTCCACTTCTCCAGGGCCAGCCCCCACTTCCCATGGCCTGGAACCTTCCATACCTGATCAATCCCTAGTCTCACTGAGCCTGAGCCCCAGCCTCAGGAATCCAGCTGCTCTTTAAGTGCCCCACAATACTCCCAGAGAAAACGCTCATATCCCTTTGTTTGGAAAATACCCCCATCACTGTTAGTTCCACAAGCAGGGCATCTTCCTTGCCTCCTTCCCCTTCCACAGGGTCTGATTTCAACTGAACACGTTCAAGCTGACCTTTACCTTTGCGGCCCATACAAGGACTAAGGCCCCACTCTGTCTGTCTTGCCTAACCACCTCCCTTCTGCTGCTGGCGTCACACAAAACCCCAACCTGGCCCCATCGCCCTTCGTGGCTCCACTGTCTTTAGATGAATTCTGGGTCCGCCTTGTACCTTGGACTCTCCCAGATCCATTCTCTTTCAGCTTCTCCATCCCAGCCTACAGGCCTCCTGACTGCCACTCAGTCACACCTGAATAGCGCCAAGGGTGCAGAGAGGACCCCCCAGTCCCAAGGCTGACCCTACATCCATAAGTCTCCCCAGGACACATCCTCATAAATCACAGAGAAACAACAAGCGTCAGGCCTCAGTAAAACTTCCCTAAAAGGCCACTCAGCTGGCTTGGGAACGTAAAGGGTCCCCTCTCTCACCCCCGCCCTGTCCAGCTTTAGGAGGCCCAAGGGATTTCGGCCGCCTGCCGGCTCAAGGCAGAGCCGTCTGGACTTCTGCAAGCACATCACTCCCTAGGGGAAGCCACAGGTGCCCATCCTAGGTCCCTCCTGAAGACTTGTGGTCACTCTCTTTCCAATCAAACTTCTGCAAGACCATAGTGGTCACCATTTCGTGTCAAGAAGGTTGGTAAAGGTGTGGCTTGGGGACAGCTCACCCTGGACCAAGATTTGGTTTCTTCCTCAAGGCCAGTTTAGCATCTCCTTCACTCATATTCTATTCTAGTATCACTTCAGTATATTTCTAGTTGTCACAGCCCCTCTCCCACGCTTACACACCTTTTGTGGTCCCCACTCCCTGAGACTAACCAGGACCTTATCTTGGCATCTGGGTTTTCCACGTCCTCTGGGCTAGTGCTCCGTTATGGATGCCTTAGCCTCTAACCTGCCAGATTCTACTTTGTAATCTACTCTGATCTAGAATCTCCTAGCAATTACCCTTAGCTCCAACTGGGCAGCCCTTTAATCTCCACCATCTAGCCCCCGCCCTCCCATTGGGCCCAGGAATCCAGTGTGGAATTGTATCCCAGACACAGGGTTCCCCCAAGGGAATGAGAAATTTTAGCCATGGGGAGACATTTTTCGTTTTTAAATTTCCTCAAGAAAACATGCTGAACTCCTTGGCTGCTGTGGTCACCAGGGAGGAGATGTCTCTCAAGGAAGACAAAACAGCTTCCAGATGCTCCTGTTTCTGGGGGCAGTCTTCACAAGTGAGTTTGTATGGTTGGGGCTGAGTGTGGAGGGAGGGGTTTCCTAGGGGCTTTCCTGTGCTGTCTGGCCAGAGCTGGAATTTTTTTCTTTCTTTTTGATTTTTTGAGACAGGTTTCTCTGTGTAATCCTGGATGTGCTAGAACTCACTCTGTAAATGTGGTTGGCCTTGAACTCAGAGATCGACTGTCTCTGCCTCCCTTTAGAATCTTTCAGAGAAAACCAAGATAAAACATTATGTAAATATTTTAGGGAACAGACAAGCTTTCATTACATCCACCAAATGAGTTGATGTTCAAGGTGAAGCTCCAGTTCAGTCTGGTTACACATGAACACAGACAGCGGCCACCATGTCCAACTGATGTGGTCTGGCTGGTACAAGTGGTTTGGGGGATGCTGGGATTAAAGGAGTGTGCCACCATTGCCCAGCCAGAGCTGGAATTCTGATGCTCTAGTGTCAGAACCATTTCTTTGAGGCCTCTCCCAAGTCCACCCAGGGTGAGCCTGAAAGAGCCATATATGGAGGGGACAGAATGGCTTAGTCCAGCTGCCCTCAGCCCCACTCATGGGCTCTTTAAGTCTAGTCGTTCCCTGTACAGACCTCCAGAGAAGAGGGAAAGGCTCGCTGAGGCTCTTTTGAAAATACAATTGTTTTCAGTACCCAGTAGGTTTGGTTAGCTCGGGGTGTGGGGGCCTTTATGGAATGACAGGCATGGGATTTATTTATAGCCTTCACCATTTCCTGGATCAGGGGTCACATTCCAGCTAGAAGTGGCCCCCAAAGTCCCTGATGCCCAAAGCAAGTCTTAGCTGGTTGCTGGGCCCAACCTCTCCACAGCAGTCTTTCTTATCTGCACCCAACCCTGCTACTGTCCATTCCTCCTGGATGAAGACAGACCCTCCCCTTGTTCCCACCCATAAGGTGACACCAAGAAGCCAACCCGGTGTGGTATGGGGTCCTGGAAGTGGTCGGCGGTTGCCTATTCCAGGCCTGCACAACTGTCCTGAGAATACCTGGATAAAGACAGGCCAGTACAGGGAGGTCAGAGGTCAAGGCCAGGACTACCACAGCATCTTATCCACATATGTGTTCGTAAGGCGGCAGGGGTGGGGTGGAGGGGGATTTGTGGTAGGTGAGAAGAGTGAGGCAGCATGGCCCTGAGCAGTGTTCTCAAAAGGCCCAGTCAAGGCTCCTACAGTACAAGTCACCTCCCAGCAACACCTTGGGTCACAGCCACCAGGGCCCTTATATCCTCCACTTCATGACACCAAAAAAATAGCTCTCCTACCAAGCATCTCGCATCCACCGCAGCAAGGGGAGGGAAGGAAGCAGAGGCAGGCTGGGGCAGCTGGGGAGGACGGGGGAGGGGCAGCCACCAGGGCCCTTATATCCTCCACTTCATGACACCAAAAAAATAGCTCTCCTACCAAGCATCTCGCATCCACCGCAGCAAGGGGAGGGAAGGAAGCAGAGGCAGGCTGGGGCAGCTGGTGAGGACGTGGAAGGGGCTGGGCCTCCCACTTACCATCCATGTGTTTCCTGGACAGATACTTGAGGGCCTCATCGAGCAGGATGACGGGCAGAGACATCTGGAGCACCACTCCCCACTGCCCTGCACTCACTGGGGTCACCTGGAAAATGAGCTGGGGGGGCAGGGAGACCCAGTTACAGGCTGTGTGCTGTGTGTCTATGTCACCCACCTGAACTCCAATGGGCTCTTTGTGGGCATGTCCTTGGAAGCCCTTCCGTCACACCTTCACCTACTAAGTTTCCCCAAGGACCCGCTATCCCTGGTTCACCCAATCCTTCCCTGGCCCTGCCTTCCACTCAGGCTCAGACAGTCCCCTCAAAAAGAGGGTTCTACCTTTTCTGTCCGCTGAAGGTGGGGACCTATCTGGGGGGTGATGGCTAGCCACATCTCTCCCTGCTGTCCTTCCTGTCCTTCAGGTGACTTCCACTAGAGAGGCCTAGGAAGGCCCAGCACTAGTTGGGACCCCCTAGTGTCCAAGGACTATGTGGTGCCTGTAACCCAAGAAACTAAGGAAGGAGGAGACATGGAGGCAACTCACAGGCAGGGGAGGCACCAGAAGGATGAGGAAGTGCAGAGCCATGGACATGACCACAGCCCCCAGCAGCCAAGGGTTCAGCCAGGGTGGCATGCGCAGCAGTGACTGGTTCTCTGAGACGCTACCAAAGGCACAGGGACTCACTCAGGACAGGATGTCAGGCCACGGCAGGCCCACCCACCTCAGCAACCACCTCTCTACCTAGGTTGTAGAGTCAGCGTGGATATTTCTTGTGCATACCCCATTCACCCTAGAGGCCCATCTCAGGGCTTGGGCCCAGGTTCTCTGTCCCTCAGATTCAGTCCTGGACCTCCATTTCATCACACCCAGGCCTTTCTCTCCTGAATCCCAATTCTGGCCCCACTGACTCTCAGAATGGTCCTCTATGACCCACAGACCTCAATCTTCAATCTACTTGGATCCTAATTCCTGTCTCTTTTGACCTTAGACCCCAGTCTGTCTTGGACTCCTCTGACTCTTAACCCCAGCCCAGAATCCCTCTGCCCAGCTCACCTGTTGAGGGCGTTACACATTTCAATGGTCACAAGCACAGATAAGGCCATGGTTGTAGGGAAGCGGGACTCAAAGACCTCACAGTCGATGCCATCAAAGAGTGGGTTGTCTTCAGAGCACTTCAGGAAGTTCCTCTGAGAACAAGGTGAAGGGCCCAGAAGAACAGCTGTTACTGAGGTTCTGGACAGAGGAGAGGGAAGCCTTTCCCAACTTTCGATACAACTGAGCACAGCACTGCAGGGGATGAGTCAAAGAGTGACTATCCTGCAGTGGTTGTTCCTGGATCATGGGAGTAGCTGGCATTAGGCTGGGGAGGGCACTGGGAGGCCACGGGGTTGGGGCGGTGATCAAAAGACCTCATAAATACACGAATGCTCGCCAAGATCAACCAACACAATTACACTTAAATAGAACTGACCTCGGAAGTAGACAAAACACACATGTGCCCTCTTCAATGTCATTGCACAGGTTCCATTCCTGCCTCACCCCCTGCTCTCTGATTATGACAGAGAATGAATGGCCAGGCTCAGCCTTAACACACACCTCCTCTGTAATTAGTGAGCTATTAGCACTATAAGGAAGCTGCCTGTCCCCCCTCCCACCCCAGTAGCTTTCTTTCTGCTCACTGGCTTTGTTCAGAATCTCCTGAAAAAGATGCCAAACTGAGGATGTCTGGGAGAACCGACTTGTTCTCTCTGACACCATGGGGGTGAACACAACTGAGTCTGCCTGCGTCTCCCAAGCATAATTCCTTCCTTCCTTCCTTCCTTCCTTCCTTCCTTCCTTCCTTCCTTCCTTTCTTTTCTTCCTTCCTTCCTTCCCTCCCTTTTCTTCCTTCCTTTTTTTCTTTTTTTTCAAGACAGGGTTTCTCTGTAGCATTGGAGGCTATGCTGGAATTCACTCTGTAGACTAGGCTGGCCTTGAACTCATAGAGATCTGCCTGCCTCTGCTAGGATCAAAGGCATGTGCCGCCACCACTGCCAGGCTCATAATTCCATTTCTTACAAGTCTCTTCTGAACCTGAAGATCTTTGAGGACAGGGCTTAGTAATAGGCATTGTGCTGTAGAGATAAACGCTCCAAGAGAGGTCCGTCCAGGGATAGATGGTCTGACCTAGCAGTCAATACAGCACGGTGGGGTCTGTGCATGAGCCTCTGCTGTCACACAGGAGGAAAGCTATTGACCACTAAGGCTTGGCTAGAGCCTTCCTAAAAGCTGATTACATTAATGTGCCCCCACACCCAGTTTACAGAGTGCTGTGAACCAAACCCAGAGTGTCATGCATGTTAGGCAAACACTCTTCCAGCTGAGCTACATCCTTAGCCCAAGCCCAGCTTCAGAAATTGAGTCGGACCATTTATTCAGTCACATGACAGAGTGTGGGTGTGGTGGTTTATTTAACTGTCAACTGGACAAAACTTAGAATCACCTGAGGAAGTTTGCAGACCAGGTTGGCCTGTGGATATGTCTGTGGGGCACTGTCTTGATTATGGTAACCAATGTGGGAGCCCCAGCCTGAAACCAGGCAACGACATTCTCTGGTCTGGGTCCTAGACCGTATAAAAGCAGAAAAAGTGAGCACCTCCCCTCATTAGCGTGGACTTCACATTCCTCTTTAATGGTGAAATGATATGTATACCAAAGGAATGGGTTTTGTTGTTGGTTCTGATTTTTAAATAAATATATATGTGTATGTATTCATATATAATTTTATGTGTATGGGTGTTTTGCCTGCATGCATATCTGTGCACCATGAGTGCCTGATCCATGAGAGGCTATCAGATCCCTTGGAACTGGAGTTACAAACAGTTGTGATCTGTTACACAGTTGTTTGCTGGGACTCTGACCCTGGCCTCTGCCAAAGCAGCCATTGTTCTTAACCGCTGAGCCACCTTTCCAGCCCATTCCTGTTTTGTTTGACATGGGGTGTCACTATGTATCTCTGGCTGGCCTGCAGCTTGCTATGTAAACCAGACTAACCTTGAACTCACAGGAATCTACCTGCCTCTTCCTCCTGGGTACTGGGATTAAGGTCCCAGCTGGCAGCATTGTTTTAAAATATATTTCCTTACAGTTTACTAATAGTAAGTAATTGATGTGCGTATGTATTTGTACACTTGGAGTCATATAAAAATTCCTTGAGTGAGAAGGGGTTTCAAATAAAAAAGTTTATGAAATAGGGGGCTGGAGGGATACCTTGGTGGTTAAGAGCACTTGCTGATCTTCAGAGACCCTAAGTTCGATTCCTAGCATCCACATGGTAGTTTACAACTGTAACTACAATTCCAGGAATCTGACTACCTCTTCTAGCCTATGTAGGCACCAGGGACACATGTGGTATACAGACATACAAGCAAGCAAAACACTCCTACACATAAAATTAAAAACAAACAATGTCAGGTGGTGGCGGCACACACCTTTAACCCCGGCATTTGGGAGAAAGAGACAGGCAGATCTTTGTGAGTTCGAGGCCAGCCTGGACTACAGAGGGAGTTCCAGGACAGTCAGGGCTACATAAAGAAATGCTGTTTTGAAAACCCAACCCTCCCTCATCTAAAAAAAAAATTGAAAACAAGCAGACACTTTTTAAAAAGTCATGAATCAGAGTGTTCTCTTTTGGGAGCTTCCTCAAGGGTCCCTCTGTTGAAATCTGACAACTTGAGGCTGGAAAGGTGGCAGAGGCAGGCAGATCCCCAGAGTTTAGTGGCCAGCTGAGTCTATGAATCTGCCAGCTCCAGATTCAATGAGAGACCTTATCTCAAAAAAAAAAAAATAAGGTTGAAAGTAATCAAAAAAGATACCCAGTTTCAACCTCTGGCCTCTGCACACATGTGCACATGTACACACACAAACACATGAATACCAGAGAGAGAGAGAAAGAGACAGAGAGACAGAGACAGAAACAGAAACAGAGAGGGAGAGAGACACCAGTGACTCTAGCCTAAAGTTCTGCCTAAACCTTCACTGAAGCACTTCCCACCCTGAATAGGGTTCCCCATTCCCACGGCCTCTTCCCCCAGACTGTCAGCTCTTTGTAGAGATCCCCTGATTAACACTCCCATGGCTTCAGTAATTTGTACCCAGGCCACAGTGAGAATTTGATAGATACTTCCTGGCAAAGTGGCTGAATGAGAAAAGGAAGGAGCTGAGGACAGTTGAGAAGAAAACATCACATCAGGCTGACTGGGGCTTAAGGAGATGTCTAATGTGACTCCTGGGTTGTCAGCTTTAGTGACCTGGCAGACAGTGGATCTGAGATGAGATAGAGGAGAGAGATCATTGTGGAAGGAGTCAGCCTTGGTGCGGGCCTTATGGCTTGCACAGGGCCTATGAAAACTGCAGAGGAGGTAAACAGCATTTATGGGGTGGGATCTTAGGAGAGAGGAAGGAAATCCCTAGAGATCTGGGGATCCTTGGTCTAAAGCAGTGGTTCTCAATCTGTGGGTCAAGACCCCTGGGTCAAACAACTCTTTCCAAGGGGCCACCTAAGACCATCTGCATATCAGAAATTTGTATTTTGACTCATAACGGTAGTAAAATTATAGTTATGAAGGAGCAACAAAAAATAATTTTACAGTTGGGGTCACCACAACTTGAGGAATGGTATTAAGGGGTTGTAGCGTTGGGAAGGTTGAGAACCACTGGTCTGAAGGGTGAGTACAGACACAGTGATGGATGGAGGCACAGACGTACACTCTAGTCCAAAGCTATCACAGGAGCCAGAGGTGCTGAGGTGAGCAAGGATGACCTGATCCCTGGCTGAGGACAGGAGGGGAGAGAGATTAGCCTTTCAAGGAGGCGGGGCTATCCTCTGTATTGTGGTGAACTGGAAGAGATGCTCTCTGGTCTTGAGCGCTGCTGGGTGCCAGAACATGGCCCTGGGGCTACCTCCTCTCCAATAATGCAGGTGGCATCCATCGAGGAGGGGTCCTACCTCCCTCAGCTATCCATGTCCACTGTTCTGTGATGTGTGTTTCAGGCAAAGGGCCAGGAAAGACAGCAGCTGAGAGGGGGTCTGGTTCGTTTCCTGAGCTGAACTAAGCTAAGACTGTTCCGCACTGTGCTGTGTAGTGTTTCCTTGAGCTGGGAACTGTGGGCTTCCAGGGCCAACCAAGCTACCTCCCTGGAGAACGGTATTCATGCCAGCTGCAGGCCAGCCATGGAGGCTGTGTCTCCCTCTGGGACTCCCTCAACTATATAATCTGTAAACCCCTGCCTGGCCTCTTCTTGCTCACCAGCTGATAGAAGGTGACTTGCGGTCCCTCGGCATCATATAGGAACCACCAGGTGGCGGCAGCCATGACAGCCAGGCCTACATACACTGTGGGCAGAGGAAGAGACACAGCACAGTAAGCAGTTGAGGTTTTTCTTGCCATCCATGTCCGCTACCCAACCATCCCTTGAATTTTCCTCCCCCTCCATAAGCCTTGGCCTACTAACATCTATCCTGTGCCAATCGTGGGCCCTGAATGGCAGTCTCATCTGCCACACTCTTGGGTATAGTAACTGGTCTAATTTGCACTAATAAAAACAGGCCTGAGGCTTTTATAAAAATAAACCCCAAATCTTCCTGGGCTGGGGAGATGACTCAGTGGACATAAGCATGAAGATCTGAGTTTGGATCCCCATCACCCATGTAAAGGCTGGATGTGGCCATGTATGCCTGTAAACCCAGCGCTATGGGTTTGTAGGAAACAGATGGGAGGATCACTGGAGCTTGCTGTGGCCAGCAAGCCTACCCAGCCTCCCCCCAAAAAAGGACAAGCTCCAGGCTAGGGAGAGGCCCTACCTGAAGGGAATAAGGCAGACTGATAGACCAACCATACCCTGTGCCTAGTCTTTTTAGTCACACAAGCCCAGAGCATCTGTTATCAGAAGCTGGTTGGGTTGCACTATTTGTTGTCTGCAAACTAGGATGCTCCTGAGGGATAATTCCCTGCTCACCTCCAATAGCCAAATACCGGAAAAAAAGCCAGCCACTGATGAGAGCCTCATGGGGGTTCCGAGGCAGCTTCTCCATGATGTCCAGATCTGGTGGGTTGAAGCCAAGTGCTGTGGCAGGGAGGCCATCTGTCACCAGGTTGACCCACAGCAGTTGCACAGGGATCAGGGCTTCAGGCAGACCCAGAATTGCTGTGAGGAAGATGCTAAAACCAGAGTCATGGGCTCTAGCCCAAGCAGGCCAACTACCACCAGAGGGTCCAGCTATACCTCTCACCCCAGGCTGCAGCCCAAGAGGGAAGGGTGTGAGTATACTGGCTATGTTTGCCCTTTCTGTCTAACAAAAGACAGTTGGGTGCATGCACACATACCACATGCCCAAGCATCAGACACGTAAGACCTGTCACATAATCACAGAAACACGTAAACACAGGCAATCACCCATGCGCTGGCCCCAAATTACAAATGTGCAGAATTCAGGGCTGGAGAGATGGCTCAGAGGTTAAGAGCACCGACTGCTCTTCCAGAGGTCCTGAGTTCAATTCCCAGCACCCACATGGTGGCTCACAACTATCCCTTATGAGATCTGGTGCCCTCTTCTGGTGTGCAGATATACATGGAAGCAGAATGTTGTATGCATAATAAATAAATAATCTTTTTAAAAAATGTGCGGAATTCACATGCATTGAGTACACACGACCTCACATCGACCAACAGCATCTCTCCCATGCAAACAGAAATGCGAACATAAGCACACTCTGGTCTACATTCTGTCTGAGTTTATACCCAGTGACACGTAAGAGCACACATGCATTCCTAAGCATAGACCTCTCACCTGAACACACACACACACACACACACACACACACACACACACAGATTAATGCATGCATACATGAAGACACCCTGTTGCCCTGTGTCGAAGCTGCTTCTCCAGTCTTATGGGTCTCAAGACTGTGAAGGGATGAAGAGAAAAGATCATGGCTGGAGGATGGCAGAGATGCTGGAGTGCACCACAATCCGGGGGTAGCCTTCTCAGGAACATAGAGTTGTTTGGTACAGGGGCTTGGGAGAGGAGAGCATGGAGCCTCACCAGACAACCTCGCCAACATTGGAGGAGATGAGGTAGCGGATGAATTGCTTCATGTTGCTGTAGATGGCCCTGCCCTCCTCCACTGCAGCCACAATGGAGGCAAAGTTGTCATCGGACAGTACCATCTCTGCTGCTGACTTGGCCACAGCGGTGCCTGAGCCCATGGCGATGCCAATCTCTGCCTTCTTCAGGGCTGGTGCATCATTCACTCCATCACCAGTCTGTAGGCCGGGCA